GATGAATCGGGGCACTAGAACAAACGTGTTGCATGTGTTTCTCTGCATGTGCACATATGCTTTAAACTTTAGCTAGATCATGCAATCCAGTAATTTCAATAGCAATAATTTCAAGAGAAAATCGACCATAAAATCAATAGAAAATCGCAAATAAAATCAATAGAAAATCACAAATAAAATCAATAGAGAATCACAAATAAAATCAATAGAAAATCCATTCTAAAATCAATCGAGGAGACAGTCGTGAAATCAATCGAGAATCCTGAAACTAGGCCACGATAAAATCAATAGAATGCAATGTCAGAAATCAATCGAACCCGACCCAACAACAGCATGCGATTCGATTGAAAAACACCAAAATCAATAGGGTTTTGAATTTTTGAAAAAATCAAGCGTTCGATTGAAAAAAATCAATATCGGATGCTCTGGGTATGAGGAGGCCGCAGCAGCAAGCTCATCATCGGCACCGCCTCCAAAACAGGCGGCTATCGCTCACAAAGCGATTGCTTCAAAGAAGATGCCGAAGGTGGTTCCCAAGCCCGCCGCAATCGCCGAAAAAGACGAAAGCATGGACTTGGATGAAGCCACCCGCGAGGGTGAGCCTGCTGATGATGCTGGTGCATTCGACCTTGACGAAACCAAGGTTGAGGTTGAAGTTGAAGTCGACGAAGGCGATACAACGGATGCGGGTGAGGATGAGCCATACCCACTTGGCTCACACCCATGCCGTGAGTGCGCAGCAGTCGTCGCCAATGGCATGCTGTTCTGCCTCCGTTGCAAGGCTCCCCAGACGGACGACTCTAAGAAGATCACGAAGCGAGTCTTTGAGAATTCGAGACTTCGCCAGCGACTTCTTGCCACCGCTGCAACCGGAGCTCAGAAGCCCATCGATGATCTCCTTGCGAGTGACCTTCGAGGCCTGGGCGAGGGACCAAAGAAGCGTGGTCAGATGAGCGCAGAGGCTGCCGCCATTCGTGACGCCAAAGACCGAAAGATCAGGGCCGCCAAGTTGAACTTTGACACCGTGTCCGACCGCTTCGAGAAGGACGCGCAGTTCAACGTGAGGATGATGCAAGAGGGCCGCAACTTCGAGGACATGCAGAAATTCGATCACCTGTCGAACGCTGTGCTTCCCGATCCAGGACGCAGCGAGGAGCAGCGCTACTTGCGTGCCGGCTCCCATTATGGTGGTGGCAATGTCCCGCCAGCGAAGTTGGTCTATTATGCCCACTGCGAAGTGGAGCCGTTGAGGAACTTGCGGTTTATCGATGATACCGCGGATGTTCCCATCGGCTTGACCTACCTCGGAGCATTCCTCCCTCCGCGACTCTATGCTGAGGTGGCAGCAGTGAATGATGCTGCGAAAAGGATCCTGACTTTCGACGGCGAGGTCTATGTGTCGGCTACCACAACTGAAGGCATCACAACTGAGATCGGCCAGATTCTTACCGATAGCCTCCGTAGTGCTCAGAACCAGACAGACCAAACGGAACGTTTGGCAGAGCGCAATCGCCAGGCCGCAGTCCAGAACCGCCCATCCCAAAAGGGACGTGGTCGCACGACAGCACCTGAGCCAATGTATAGAGGCTATACTCAGGCCCAGTGGGACGAGTACTATCGCCAGCGTCGTGGAGGTTACACTCAGGCCGAGTGGGATGCATGGAACCGCACCCATAGGCGCTGAGTCCTCATTTTGATTTGCTTCGGACCTGCAGGGCTTCCCCGTTGTGCTTTATAAATGCTCGCTTTGGCAAGTCTTCAAAATCGTTGAAGCCCAGGGCAACCTGGAGCCATGTACTATCCGCCTTAGCTCGAGCAGCACGGCGAGGGGGGTGTAGATTTTACCCTGCCTCCATTGCTATTCCTATGGTCCTTAGCTATGTCTGTACGCGACTGCACTTGGCCCAAGTCCCCCGTGTAAAAAGGTCACAAGGGTTGACTTACCGGTTACTTGCCGTGTCTAGCTGGTAGCCTGGGAAACTTCACGTTTTGGACAGATTTGGTGTGCTTTTCTTGGTTTTTTCCACCTGAAACGAAAAGAAACCAGGAAGACAGAACGAAACACCCCAGAACAAGGACCAAAGCAAGGAAGAAGAACAGAAAGAAAGAAAAGATAGAAGGAAGGCAGACGGTTGGAAATTCAGGTTCGGAACCCAGGTTCAAACCTGGGTTTGAACCTAGGTTCTAATTCGGGTTAGAACCCAGGTTCAGAACACGGATTTTCTCGGGTTGTTGATTCAGCGGGGTTAAGCGCGAAGCAACACAATCAATCATGAATGACTTGGAAGTTCTCTTGAGCCACGAAGTAATCAACAATAGCGTGTTTGCCAACCGGTCGTTTGAGCCGCCACGAAATATATAAAACCGTGTTCGCCAACACAAAAAAAGAATAAAACCAGACAACACTGCTTCAGGGGGGTTTAACGTGAAGAAGACAAAATCAATCCTGATGGATTTAAAAGGTTTGCAAATGGGGGGGGCTGCGCCCCCCCCAACCCCCCCGCTTTTTTTAGACTAAACTCCCCCGCTCTCTAAAGCCACACAAGAAAGGGAAAGCCAGACAACCACGCTCCAGGGGAGTTTACCGCGAAGAGAGCACAATCAATCCTGAAGGGTTTAACAGCTTTGCAAATAGGGCGAGTTCCCCCCCCAAACCCTCGCTGTTTTAGACTAAACTCCCCGCTCTCTAAAGCCGCGAAGAAATGAACATAAACGTATTCGGCAACACACAAGAAGGGGAAAGCCAGACAGCCACGCTCCAGGGGGTTTAACGCGAAGAGCAGCAACAACAACAGCAACCAAGACGACGACCACGACAACATCAACGACCCCACCACCACCAACGACGACAGCAACGACATCAACGACATCAACGACATCAACGACACCACCACCGCCACCAAGGCAAATAGTCTTGGAAATGGCTGCATTTCCCATTATTTTTTCTTTAGTTTTTCGTTGATCCCTGGATCTAATTTGTTTTTGATGATGAGTTTTTTGATGCCTCACCCCGTCCACAGGGATCCTGCCCCTCGAAGCGCCCGCGCTGTGGTGCGGCGCGACCCCGATGAACCCTCTACAGGGATTCTGTGTGTCGAAGCGCTGGCGCTGTGGTGCGGCGCAAATTCTTTACGTCGCCGATGAACCCTCTACAGGGATCCTGCGTGTCCAACCTGAACAAATCCTTGGCCGCACCTCCGAAAAAAGAGGGTTGGCCGCACCTCCGAAAAAAAAAAAAACCGCCAATAATGAGGAACACTGAGAAGGTAGGTCTCTTCGGCTACAGGTGGGGCGTTTAGAAGTTCCGGTTTTGCCTTTCAGGGTTATCCCTTCGGGGCCGTAAGGGTTGATTTTTAGCAACCCTAAACCCTAAACCCTAAACCTTACGGGCTCTTATACTTGAAAGGCTCCTATCTAAGGGCTCCTGTACTTTTAGGGTTCCTTCATCGGCAGCTTTAAGGGTTCTTCTGCGGTTTTTTTTTTGGAGTTTGGGATGTTTAGGGTTTAGAAACAGCGTTTGGGGCTTAGGGTTTAGGGTTTTAGAGTTTTAGGGTTTAGGGTTTGGGGTTTGGGGCTTACAGTGCAGCCTGCAAGGGTCATACAGAGAGTTAGATAGATAGGTAGATAGGTAGATGGGAGTTTCCGAAAATAGGAGACCCTTATATGGTACCTTAAATAGTAGTATCCTTATTATAAGGGTTCCACAATAAGGTAGCCCTATTTTCGGAGACTCCCAGATAGATAGATCGATAGATAGAATTCTTTGGATTGCAGGCATACGTTTCGGATCTGGGTGCTCGAGTAGTTCCTTGAATGGTCCTTCAAGGAGGTTTAGGGTTTAGGGTTTGGGGGGTATACCTGATTTGAAGTTTATGTGTGAGGGTTTGCCGAGGTCTCCAATGTTTTTTCATGTTTTTCTGAGTTTGGGCTTCCCGGTCTTCCCGGTGCCCCAGTAGTGGTATGGAGTGAATACAACGGTTGTGCATCGATTTAGGGTCGCTTGTGGGACTGTTACTTGGAGGGTCGGGGGACTTAGTAAGTATTTATTTCAGAGACTTGTAAGTACCGTGACCCCAAATAGGGTCCCTTTTAAGGCACTTATAAGTCTATTTATAACCGACTTACGAAGTCCCCCGACCCTCCAAGTAGGGTCCCCCGTAAGCCCTGATGCTCTCCAACCTGTCGGGGGTTTCCGTGTTGCTTAAGCTGAACGGCACGCCACAAAGGTGGCATGATGCTTAAGATGGGCGGGGGAACAAGACTAGGGTTCAGTGTTTAGTGAAGGCCCAGGGCTTACGAATTTTAGGTTTTAGGGGTGTTTGGCGTTGAGATCCTTCACTTTTCTTGTCAATTCTTGCGAGCTTTCCGGGCAAACGGTTGCGGGTGCCTACATGACAAGGGCAATACTAGTCAAAAGGTTTGGGGGTTTAGGGTTTAGCTTCGGGGTTTCAGGGCTGACGGTTTTGGAGTTTACGAGTGTTCGTGACAGAGAAGCGAAACAGACCGGCACGGTGTGCAAAAAGAGTTTGTAGATGCCTCACCCCATCCACAAGTTTGAATCCACAGCCCCACACCCTTCCCACCCTGAGCCCCTAAACTCAGCCTGTAACCCTTAAACTTAAACCTAACAGCAGCACGGGTATAACACCGTAAGCATAGCAGTCCTTTCAGCCAACTTTCATGACGAAGCCCATTCACCTAAACTCTAAACCTTCAACCCTTAAACCCTATACCCTAAGCTAAACCCCAAACCCTAAGCCCTAAACGCTTAAGCCTTTAAGCCATAAACCCAACAACTTTGAAGCCCCAACAAGGCTCCCCAAAGCCCCAAAGACTTTCAGGGTTTATAGGGTTTACTTAAAGGGCCATGGGACTTAGCAACTAGGGTTATAACTAGGGCAACTATGCTTATCATTATGTTTAACCCCAATTAATTATAAGGGTACTTATAACCTTACTTACTCAAAGAGTTTTGGGTTTTGGGTTTAGGGCCTTGGAAGGTGCAGAAGGTCATCAACGGAGTGCCGTGAACTTGGCCAGTTCAAGGGGTTTAGGAGTTTAGGATTTAGGGTTTAAGGGTATGTAGGGGTCTAGGCTTTAGGCTTTTCCAGGGTCGTCAAGTGCTTTTATAGTAGGAGGTTTGCTTTTCAAAACTGGAGAATATCAGGAAGTACTGCTATGCTTTCAGAGCAGCGGGAGTATACACCGGAAAACTTGCACGTTAGGGCGATGTTGAGGTTGCTCTATGTCATCAAGCCTGACCCTAAGGCTTAATTAACATAGCCCCATCCTGTGGCTAGAGCCGCGTTATGCAGAGGGTTCATACACTCTACCATTGTGGAATTAGGTCGCCGAAACCATAATAGGCATGGTCTCTTGGGACCTAATTCTCCAATGGTAGGACATATGGACCCTCTAGGTCAACTTTAGATTAGGTCTCGGGGGTTGGGCTCACCACTTCCGTACAGAGCACAAGAGGCCTTTGAGTACGAGCAAAGATTTCACGGCAAGATGGCCCAAGGGTTGGGGTTGCAGAATACGGATTCCGAGCTTTTTGCATCCGCTTTGCATGGGGTGGGTCAAGGTCAGCACATCATAGTCTTGCTGGTTTTTGGATGTCGGGTCTCCCAAAACTCAAGGTCTAAACCCGCGTTTGTTGTTACATCCCCACCCCTAGACCCAAACATGCAAACTCTCAGCTCTTAAACAACCTCGATGCCCTTACAGAAGCCATGAAGCCTAAGAAGTTTCAACACGAAGTGCACCCAATTCCCTTCAAAAAACCCTAAACCCTTAAGCCCTAGACCCCTAAACCCTAAAAGCCCTAAACCCCTACACCCTTAAACCCCTAAACTCCTAGACCCGACACCCCTAAACCCTAGACCCCTAAACCCTAAAAGCTCTGATCCTGAGTGCTGAGGGTGGAGGACATCCGACACGCAGGCGCGGAGACCCAGAGCTACTCAGACCCTGGGAGGATCGGGGGGGACTTAGTAGAACCCTACTTAATGGGTTCCTTAAGGGGCTCTTTGAAGGGTTCTGTAAGGGATCTATAGGGGTTTAGGGTTTAGGGTCTTCTTGGAGAATCATGGGACTTAGTACCCTTAAGGGGATCTATAGGGGTTCTATAAAGGGCTCCTTTAAAGGGGTCTTATAAGGGTTCTATAAGGAGGATCGGGGGACTTAGTAAGTATGTAATCATGAGGGGGTCCTTCAAGGGTTCTTGTAAGGGTTCCTTTAAAGGGATCTATAAGGGTTCCCTTAAGGGGTCTTGGAGGGTCGGGGGACTTATCCAGACTGCCGGGAGGATCCGAAAAGTAGATCCCCATTAATGCCTATAAAGTACCCTTACTCGTATAGGGCCCCAGATTAGGGGATCTACTTTCTAGATTTTTGCGGGGGTCTGGGTAAAGAGGGTATACAAGGGTTCCTTTACAGGGATCTATAGGGGTTCCTGATACCGGTAATTACTTAAAAAGGGATCTATGAGGGGTATTGGAGGATCGTGGGACTCAGTAAGTAGGCAATACATACGCTTACAAGTACCCTCACACAATGACAACTGGGGTTATGATACTTATAAGACTATAAGATAACTGCTTACTAAGTCGCCCGACCCTCCAAGCCGGGAGGATCTGAAGAAGTAGATCCCTCAAAGTGTGTTCCTTAAAGTGTTTTTTCTAGTGGTTTAGGGTTTATAGGCGGTTATGGAGTTTGGGACCCTCGAGAGGATCTACGAAGTAGCGCAAACATTGGCTGCACATATGGCAGGACGGTGCATCATGATGACAAGAGATTCGACCGGAACGGTGTACGCCTTGCCAGGGACTATTAAAAACAAAAGAACGTGGTATGTGCTTTGTTCCGGCCATCATGCTGCTTTACGCCGCGTGAATTTTCCATGTGGTCGAGATCCCGACGGTTGACCATGTGGGCAGCAATGATAATGGCAGCGGTAATGACACCTACCGCGACTGGAAGGTGATAGAAGCACCAAAGACAAGTTCACGGCTTGCAGTTACAGTTATTATTGCGGGGGGGGGAAAGGGGGGGCCGGGGGGGGGGCTTTAGGGTTTAGGGGTTAAAGGTTTAGCGAATCTGGAGAAACTATATGCCCTAGTTAGGGACCCGACCTACTCAAGAGCCCCCTTTGGGGGATCCAATTTATATTTAGATCCTCCCAGGGGTCTGGGTAGTAGAGTAGGTGATCTTTAACCTGCTTGGTTCTCTCCAGCTTATATACCCCTTGGCCCAAAGAATCCTTGAGATGCTTATACCAACCTTCGGTTTTACGAACGTCGTCCCATGGATCAAAGTACGCCCTCCTTTGCTTTCGGGATTTAGGGTCCGACTATTTCTTGAATCCTTGATCGTCCCTCGCGTCAGAATCCTTAAGATTCGTATCGGATCCCACACGTCCTGTAACAGGAACCCCTTCAAGGGTTCTCTTGTGGGCTCCTTTCAGGGTTCCTTTCAGAATTCTGTTTTAAAACCGTAAACCCCTAAACCCCTAGACCCTACACCCCGAAATTTAAACCCTTAAACCCTAAACCATAAACCCTTTATCTTTAAACCCTAAACACCAAAACCCTATAAACACTAAAACCTAAATTTTAAACCCCTAATTCCCTAAAACCCTTAAACCCTAAAACCTAAGTTTTAAGTCCCTAAATCCCTAACACCCCTAAAGCCCCTAAACCCCTAAACCCCTAAAGCCTTAAAACCTGAAACTCTAAACCCTAAAACCCTACAGATCCCTTGTAAGGAGCCCTTTTATAAACCTCTTAAGGATCCTCCCAGTCGGGTCTCGGGTACGGCCCAGGTCACATCGACCGGCTGAAGCAGACCCTGAGGCGGGTGGTTTAGGGGTTTAGGGTTTTTGGGTTAGGGGTTTAGGGGTTTGCGGTTAAATAGTGTTTAGGGGCTTTTAAGGCTTTAGGGGTTTAGGGTTTTTGGTTTAGGGTGAGGGTTTAGGGCTTTGGGTTGAGGTTTGATCGAACCTGTAGGAGTTTGAACACTAAACAAACATCCCCCTCGGCGTTCCCTTTCTCATACGGTACACGGCTTTTGAAGCATACAACACGGTGCAGGACGGTTGCCTCATGAGCACAAGTCGGCCTTCGAGTTTCAACACCTGACCCGACCGACTCACCCTTGTCCTTTTAGAACCCTAAGGGTCCAAGTAGCTCCTATTTATGGTTTTGGGTACCGAAAACAGCCCTAAAGTCCTACAATAGGGAGTACTTGGACCCTCTGGGGAAGTAATCGACAGAGCCCTATACCTATATCCCTTAGTAGGAATTATTTAAGAAGGTCTACTAGCCGGTCTGTTTATTCTTTTGGGGGAACCATGAAAAAGGACAAGACCCGACCGACTTCTGGGTTATGTTCTGGCATTGTCGGGAAGGTTGGTCAAAGGGGAGAAGGAGGGACCCTTAATGGGGACCCCTACCCTATAATGGGCTATATCGTGGGTATATAATAGCTATATATAACAGTTATATACCTAGGGGTCCTTATTAAGGGTCCCTCCTTTTACTCTTGGAGTTGGGTTGGGCTACTTTCGGGCTACTTGCCGCCTAACTATGACCTACTAGTACCGGTACGGAAACACTAAGGGGATGCACAAAGGGGTCATCAGTATACAGATACAATATGTACCCCGAACTCCACCTGGGCCCAAACAAATTTCGCAGTGTGTATACATGTGGCATCATAAAGAGAATGCAACAGCTATAATAAATATATATATATATATATATATATGTATGAATGCATGCATGTATGTAGGTACGTATTCTCACATACATACATCCATGCATGCATACATACATACATACTTGCTTATGTACTTCCATGCATACATGCATGCATCCATACCTACGCACGTACAGACCTCTACGTACCTAAATACGCATGTGTGGAACATATTTGCCTTGATGTAACTACGTATCACTATGCCTTGGGGCGACGGTTGCCGGCGGAGGGGCCTAAACCCTAAACCCTGAACACTAAACCCTAAACCTTAAACCCGAAACCCTACAACCCGACCGCAAGGCCGGGGCAGTACAAAAAAAGCAGGGTTTAGGTGACTTCGCAGGCTCTCCAGTTCCTATTTCTGTAACCCCTAAACCTACACTAGACCGGTTTAGGGCCTGGGGTTTAGGGTGAAGGGTGTGGGGCTAAGTTACGTTGTACCAAGCCCTGAACCCTAAACCCCGAAACTCCCAAACCCCTAAACCCCAATTCTTGTTGTTCGTTGTGCATGCGTCGACTCGCTTCGTCACTGATTTTGTTGCTTTGTACACGGGTTGACAGCCTAGATCCTGAACCCTGAACCAGGAGCCCTAGTTATCTTGTCTGAAATTGCGATTTGGATGCAGGTTCACCCTGGATGACACTGAGCCTGGCATGCAAGTACGTCGATGTGAAAAATCGGTGGTTCAACAGTTGCTCGTTTTTGGTTTTGTTCGGGGGCTGAGTTCGGGCTTGGGTTTTATACGGTTTAGGGAAGTTTTCGTTTTTGCTTGTCCAGAGCTTCAAGCTGTAAACTGAGCTTAAACCCTTCCGAGGCTGTCCAGGCTAGATGCTTGGAGGGTCGGGGGACTTGGTACGTATTTTGAGATTTAGCGGAACACCAAAGAGACCTTAATTGGCGTTATGACAAGCTGCACAACATTACTACTTTGCCAGTGCCCCGACCCTCCAAGTCATGGTTGGGGCGTTAGGTTAACACCGAGCCTCAAGAATCGGTGTGGACGGGGTCATGCACACTGAGGTGTTGTCCTGCATGTATGGATATAGAAAACAAGAACCCCAAGAGAGATCCTTCCACTTGTTCGATTGTTACTCCGTGGGTGTGGGTTGCTACCGTTCTTCTGTGAATAGTGAAGGAAGGCCTGAAATGTCGGCTGAGCAACCTTAAAAACTCTCAAACCTTGCACCCTAAACACTAAACCCTAAACCCTGACGCTTAGACCCTGAACTCTACAATAACTACCCTGAAGCCCCACGTCTGCTAAACCTCGAGCCAGAAAGCCCAACAAAAACCTACAGCCCTCACCCATCCCCATACCCTAACCTACTATTTGCTTAAGAACCCCCAAAAAATATAAATAATAATCCCTATATTACCCCCATAAGGAATATATATATATATATATATTTTTTTTTTCTTTTTGGGGGGTTCTTAAGCAAATAGTAGTACCCTAACCCCAACCTTAGACCTTAGACCCTAGAAGGCCTCAAGATACTGAGCCGCCCTGAACTCCAAACCCTCCCTAAACCCTAAACCCTAAACCCTACCAGAATCCCTCAGGGTCCAAGTACCTACATGGTAGGGTTTCAAACTCCAAAGATCCATCCAGGGTACATGAGCTTCGGGATTTTAAGCCTTACATATTTAAAGCCTTAAAGTGCCTAAGTAGGAACCTTTATTAAGGCCGAAGTATATACTATACAGGAACACAGGGGTCCTAAAATAATTACTTACTCAGCCCCCCGACCCTCCCCAAACCCTAACCTCTTAGACCCCTACAACCCTAAATCCTAAAACCCTTAGACCCCTAAACCCCTAAACTCTAAACCCTAGAACCCTTTTGATCCCCTTCAAGGAGCGCTTTTGGAACCCCTATAGACCCCTTGAAAGGAACCTTGTTGTACCTATTCCTCTTTGACCATTGGGTGAAGTGCCTAAACCCTAAACTCCAAACCCTTAACCCCTAAACCCCCAAGAGCCCTTAAACTCTAAACCCTAGAACCCTTTTGATCCCTTTTAGAACCCCTATAGACCCCTTTAAAGGAACCTTATTGTACCTATTTTGACCCTTGGGTAAAGTTCCGCCTCCCCGGCTCAGGACTGGACAGGGCAGGTGCGGAATTTGGGCACTTCGATGCCCGGGGCCAAGCCGTCCAGTGGCCTGGGTTTTGCGGGGTTTCGGGTTTTAGGGTTCAGGGTTTTAGGGGTTAGGGTTTTGCGGGTTTGCGGGTTTAGGGTTTAGGGGGTTTGGGGTTTAGGGTAGAAAGGTAGATAGGGATTTGAGGGCTTACGGTTTTTTAAAGTTTGAGGCCCAAACAGGATCCTAGGTACTGTCATTCTGGATACCTGCCCCAATCATAATCGTCCTTCCTGATGTAGAAAGCTTACATTCTCCTGTATAGGTACTAAGGGTTCTTTGGGAGGTTATAAGACTCAGCCATTGTCCCTTTTTTGGGGTAGGATAAGATAATATTATCCTACCTCAAGATTTGCCGCTCTAAAATTGGATCTCTTGAGTGGGTCGTGCGTGACATCAGCAAGATGCAAAAGCTCCCAACACACCCCACCCGACAAATCCTAATCAAGGTTTAAGCAAGGATCCAAGACATGCATGCCTGAAAGGGTTTCCTATACACGGTACGGTTGATGATATAAATCCTGCATTACCCATACTAAGGAGTATACCATTATTCATTATTCTCATAGTTTAGGACCCTTAACACAATGCGGGATTTATATCATCAACAGTAGTTTCCGAGACTAAGTTAGATGTTCTACTTTCTACTGTAGATCCTCTCGGTTTCGGGAGATTCCTCCCTCGTTTCGGTTCTGCTGAAACCTGAGATTGCGACAGAGCGCTCCCAACTTAAACTCTTTTCGGCCAAGCTTTCCCTCAGGGTCCATGTACTCATATAGGATATACATTGGCCTTAATGTATTCCTATATAGGTACTTTGGGGCTCATGTATCGCTATTTGGGTACATGGACCCTTAGGGTCTAGCAGGAGCAGAATGCTTTCGACAGCGGGAAGAGGGCCAGGCAAGGTACCGGCGCTAAGCCGAGCATTGCTCCGCACCTTATACAAAGGAAAGCAGACACTGGCATGGTGAGTTGCAACTCTGACATGGAGATGGCCGAAGAGCCAGGTATGCACAACCTTAACCCGGAATAACCTACCTTTTTGAGGACTTGTATAAAGAAATCAGAATAAAGAACCCTAAAAGGTGGTTCTTCAGGGTTAAGAAAGTCCCAGCAACTGCCGACCACCGTCAGGGGTCGGGATCCACGTCGTCACGAGCGGTCGCAAAGATGCTGGTCAGGGCCGGCCTAGCAGCCTGCCGAGGCTGCTTTAAGATGCTTTAAGTACTTAAAGGGTCATGGGACTTAGTAACTAGGGTTGTAATCAAGGTAACTATACTTATAACCCCAATTAAGGTACTTATAACCTTACTTGCTAAGTCCCATGATCCTCCAAGTGTGAGTGCGCCGAAAACACTGGTAGCAGAGAACTTCGGCTTGCTGCACCAGTGCAAAGCTTCATCGGTGGCACACATGGGTGGTTGTCAAAATTATGGTCCCTTTTTTGGGTCCCTATCATAATACGGCACCTAATATTTAGGGTACCCAGTTAGGGACTCGAATTTTGACAACTACCCACATGCTCCACGCCATGACCGTGCTGACGCCCAGATGCAGCATTTACTTCCTGAACTTTTTTGTGCTTGGCAGCACCTGTGCTGCGAAGCCCGTTGTGGCGACGCTGAAAGGACCCCTTAAATGGAATCTTACAGTACACCTGAACCCATGCACCCTTGGAAGGGTCCAGGGCTGTACGGGATCACGGCTGAGAAATCCTGCTAAGGAGTTTCATCCCTGTTCCCTAACCTACTTGAGCCCCCTTGACTATTCAAGACCGGGAAAACACCCCTACAGAACGCTTCTCGGGCCCTCACACGACGCCTGTAAAAAACGCATAGTCATTCCAAGATCCATTCAAAACCCGTCAGTGATCTTGAAGGAACCCGTAGACAAACCAACTGAACATCTCTAGTCCCTTGCAGCTAGAGGGTTTAGGGCTTGGGGAAGCCTCATAAAGCCGTTATCTTACGCTGAAGCCTAAACCCTTAAGACCCTAAACCTGAAGCCCGAAGCCAAGATACGGTTGCTGATGTTAATCCTGCATTACCCATAACAAGGAATATGACATATTTCCCATAGCTTGGGGATCTTGAGGTATTGCAGGATTTCTACCATCAGCCGTAGTATGTTCTTCAGCACAACTTAAAGGAATACGATCATAGGTTAAGGAATACCCCTTAAACCCTAAACCGTGCGCCGTATTCTTCAGCAAAATTTAAAGAAATACTATTATAAGTTAAGGAATATTCCTTAAACCCTAAAACCCTAAACCCTAAACCCCTAAACCCTAAACCCTAAACCCCTAAACCCTAAACCCCTAAACCCTATTCTTCAGCAAAGTTTCAAGCTTCGCTAACGAGGCCCCTGCTGCGCGTGGTCAGCCTCGTGGACAATCGTCCGCTGGGGCCTCGGACCAGGTTAAGCTACTATTTGCTTAAGAAACCCCCAAAAAATGAAAATAATAATCCCTATATTACCCCCATAAGGAGTATATTTTTTATTTTTTGGGGGTTCTTAAGCAAATAGTAGTAATGGCCTAGGAGTTTAGGAGATTAGGGTTAAGGACTTTAGGGTTTAGGAGTTTAGGGTTTAGGACTTTAGGGTTTAGGAGTTTAGGGTTTAGGAGTTTAGTGGGTTAGGAGTTTGGGAGTTTAGGGTTTAGGAGTTTAGGGGGTTAGGAGTTTAGGGTTTAGGAGTTTAGGGTCTAGGAGTTTAGGAGTTTAGGGTTTAGGTGTTAGGGTTTAGGAGTGTAGGGTTTAGGAGTTTAGGGGTTCAGGAGATTAGGAATTACGGTTCAGGGTTGAGAATTAGGGTTTAGGATGACGGGTCGAGGGTCTAGGGTGAAGCAAGATGGTTTAGGATGGTTCGCAGGGTTAAGAACTAAGGTTTAGTAGGGTTTAGGGCTTCGTTTTAAGCTTGTTCCTTTGCTATGTTTGAGAGACTGGTGGCTTAATTACTTGTATGGCTTTCACTTGTGTGGTTGATTCGTTGTGCGCTCTTCAGCTTTCTCGGTTTCCCAGAGGACCCAAGTACCCAAATAGTAAGGTTTTGGGTCTCAAAATCCATACTCTGAATGGTTTTTTGGACCTTTGAAACCCGACTATTTGGATACTTGGACCCTCAGGGTTTTTGTTGTTCTGTTTCCGTTGTTGGTACTTTTAGGTCTCGTCTTCCTGCTTCTTTTGGACAAGAAACTTGGGCTTAAAGCCTGGCCTAGGGGGTTTATGGCTTGGGAAATTTGCTAAAAGGGTTAATAAAGGGTTCTTCTGAAAATAGGGGGCCCTGACATGTATCCGAAAAAGTAGGATCCATGTTACAAGGACCCCCAAAATAAGGTACCCCTTGTTTTCGCAAAATTCCTCTAAAGGTGTTTAGGCTTGGGGCGTTCAGTTTGCAGGTTGTTTCCACCCTTAGCCGGAGACTCTGAACTATGTCTAGTACTACTATACCATACGCTAAGCCGCTAAACCCTACGCTAAACCCTACATGGCCTGCCGGTCAGTTTTTCGGTGCACATGTGTTCGTCCACCACCGATTTTCCGTCCTGCTCGAAATGAAACCCTGACCTGCGATACATGGCACTAAGGGTGCTAAGGACCCAATAATCAGGTACTTGTGGTCATGTACGTCAGTGCTTTGGGCGAGTGTGATCTTATTAATGAGTACTTGAAAATTTAGGGTAAGGAGTGTACTAGGTCACTAGGTATCCTCATACCGTTAAGGCCCGCAAAGAACCGGGGCTTCAGAGAGAAGGGCCTGTAAAAACGAAACTCAACTCGACATCTTAGCAGTCTTAGCACCTTAACTTAAGCTAAAAATAATCATTTAATCAGATGCCTCGTATTTGATGGTAGCTTTACTTGAGTTCCGTTGCAATAGCCCACCCTGGACCGAGGGGTGTAGAACTATAATATAGGTGCCTCCATAACTGCCGATACTATTTGGGTGGTTCATCATTACAATTATAGTATAATGGGCCCCAAAGCTCTATTCTAATTACGTATTAAGGCCACTATATTAATTACGCATTCAAGTAACTGGGTTGTTTGTTGTTTACAATTCGTGTTGTAGGCTTACTGTTGTTCTGTTGTTTCTTGCGCATTTGTCACTACATGCCACTGCTTGCACCTATTCGTGCGATGTATACCGTGATCACTGCTCATTGACTTGCCTGCTTTGTTGAAGTACTTCTACAGCGATGAATGCGTAAAGTAATGGCCCGAGCATTCATCAGACCATGGTAGAAGCCAGAAAGTTGGAACATCACTAACCCCATGCCCCTTAAGGTAAAGTATAAGGGATCCTAGCACTAATCCTCCTAAAGCCATGTTCCAACTTTCTGGCTTCTACTATATCATTTGGGTTCGAAGGGCTGCCTGTTCAGTGTTGTGTTGGGCCTGGCCAGGTGGCTCTTAGTGATGGGGCGCGTTAGGGCTCGAAGTACTTCAGTTTTGATAACGAAGGCCCTTAGATTGAACACTGTAGATAGTCACCAAGCCGGCAGTCTTGAACCTAAACCCTAAACCCTAAACCCTAAACCCTAAACCCTAAACCCTAATGGTACCAGTAACCCAAGACCTCAGCTGAGTGTTGAAGTTCCCGATACAACATCCTATGAAACCTTCGAGAATCCTCGAAACAAAAACCTGGACACCCTCGTTCCTTTTGGCAGGCCCAGGGAACTAAGCCTGCAAGGTCCGCTGGCCATTCCAGGGAACCCCAGATGCCGACCCTTTGTTTCGGCTTGAGCTTCAATGCGGCTTAGGGTTTTATTTTAGGGCTTAGGGCAGCAACTGTTGATGATATGAAGCCTGAATTGCTTTTCAGGACCCGAAACTATGGGAGTTATGATATTCCTTAGAATGGGTCATGCAGGATTTAGATCATCAGCCGTATCAAAAACCCCGGAATGGCAATCTAAACCCCAGCAGGTGCCTGGAAACAGTGTCGCATGAGCTCTCAATGCCGTATAATGTAGGAACCTGATTAGGAAACCCTGGGCCTATGACCCCAAAATAGCAGGATTCATATAAGGAGCCCACAGAGGCCCAAGGTTTCTTAATCAGGTTCCTACATTACCACAGACCATCTGTTCGACACGCAAGGGCGAAGTACTTCAGCGGGCACTGGCACGAGGCCTTGTTTTGTGACAGTCTCCATAGCTACAACCTACATGTGGGGTTTCCGACAACAGGGGACTCCAATATAGTACACCAGCCCAAAGGGTCCTATGTACCGATGTAGTAGAATGTAGGGTTTCCATATTAAGAATTACTATATTATGACTTAGGGAAGTATCCCCCGTAACAGTACAAAGGACCCTTTGGGTAAATTTTACGAGCCTAAGCGCACCACTAAGGTACCCCGGATTTTCGGAAACTCTCAACCCTCAACCCTAAACCCTTTATAGAACCCTTATAGATCCCTTTAAGGAGCCCTTAAAGAATCCCTTTAAAGGTACCAACCCCCCAATAATGTTCGGAAACTCTCATGAAGTTGGCGGTCCCCCGAACCAGGATAGGCTTCCTCTAACAGGTTCCTCAGAGGTTACTACAAGGGTTCAGGGATGCAGGGGCCTTCGTAAGAACAGGGTTTCGGGGCACACTCGACTACAGTTATGAGTTATGATGTATAATTTTTTCCACAGTAACTGTAGTCTAGCTATCATACGGGGCGCTACAGAATCTTAGTAGCTGCGTGGATACATTTTACACGTTTTGGGACAATATTACCCACTATAAAACTGAAAGTGTACACTTTTGGTGGCTTCTGAGTTCAGCAACTAAGGAATCGACTGCCACTTGTTCAGGCTTCTGTACGGTTGATGATATAAATCCTGGATTACCCATAATAAGGAATATCCCATAATTGCCACAGTTTTGGTTCCTTGAGGTAATGCAGGATTTATATCATCAACCGTATTTCCTGGGGGATTGAAATGCGTATTTCCTGGGGGATTGAAATGCAAGGGGCCTTCGGGCCCTAGGGCTCCATGTACCTAATATAAGGGCCTCAATACATGCCTTTACTATTTTTGGGGGTTCCTTTAAAGGGCCCTATAAGAAGGGCTACGATAAGGGTTATTCTCAGGGCTTATATAGGGGCCTCAATAATTACCTATACTATGTTTTTTTTTGTTGGGGCGGTCCTTTGTAGAACTATAGTAGAATATAGCAAGGCCCTTTCAACATGATTGAGATACCAACCTACTCTTTGTAGGTCGCCATAAATTCCATATTCGGGTTCATAAGAACCGACAACAACGTTTGTCATGGTAGCTTAAAGTATATAGATTAGTATAGACTTAGGCCTTGAAGTACCTAAGTCTCCAAAACCCCTAAATCCTAAAACCCCCTAAGACCTCTAAATCTAAAGCCGGAAGATCCCAAAACCCCAAATCCAAACTATGAACCGTGCTTTTTTATAGGTATATGGAGCCTTCGGGTGGGTTTCGAGGAGTTTGGGGATTTAAGGCGCAGGTTTTGGTGAATTTTGGGATTGAATGTCTGGGCGTTGGGGGGTGTAAGGGTGTAGCGTTTGAAAGTTCAGGGTCTTTCAGGGTTTGGAGGGTTTTGGATTGAGAAGGTTAAGGGCTTCTTTTATACAGGGTTTCGGGGTTTGCGGATTTCAGGTTTGATTTGTTGTGGTGCTTTTGGGATTTTGCTGATTCGGAGATTTTCGAATTTGGGAGCTTGAGGGTTTCGTGTTTCCAAAGAAAAAGGGAGGGACCCTCAATAAGGACCACTGGGTATATACCCTTAATATTAGCTATTATATACTCATTATATAGCACAGTTTAGGGTAGGGGTCCCCATTAAGGGTCCCTCCTTTTCCCCTTTGAGTGTTCTGTGTGTTAGGTGCTTCATGTTCGGGGCTGAACGGGTTTAGCGAATCTCGAGCCAGTACTTGCTTGAACTTATAGTAGAAGCCAGAAAGTTGGAACATCAATATCCTCATGCCTTTAAAGTAAAGTATAGGGGGTCTTAGCACCAATCCTCCTAAACCCATGTTCCAACTTTCTGGGGTTCTCTGTAGGATGAAGGGTTAAGTTAGGCACTTGAATAATTGCCAATACTATGCCTGAGGGTTCCTTCTTCTTGTCGTTGTAGTCGTGCTGTAATCAATCCCGAAACCCCATTCTAAATATTCAGGCCCTATGTATCATACAACCTCTGCCGTCTTCCCTATAGAACCAATCGCAGAACTCGAGAGCGCCCCAATTCCCCTATAAATGGGTTAGTAGAGGCCTCGGAGAAGAAATAGATCCTGCAGTGAGCAGGAAGACCCCTTTGTGCTCCTGCCGGCATTGACTTTCCAGCCACTTGCAAAGCATCACAGCCCAAACCGCAGGGGGGATCAAGTAGAACCCCTATTTTGGGACCCTATACTACCAAAGGCTATTTACAGGCACCTCCTTAAGGGATCATCTCCTGGGATCCTCCGAATGGGTCTTGCCAAGCGCCACCAGGTACCCTTTAGGTGTCAGCTCGCGGTGCAAAGTTGACGGGTCTACAATGTTTACATGCCAGGAGTTAACGGAAGCCGAAACTCTAGACCCTAATGTAGGGGGCCTTACTTGGGGGTTACATTATCTTATAGTTTTTGTACAGTAAGGAGCCCCAAAAGCCCTGTTCTACCTACTAAGGCCCCTATATTATGCAACCCTACTACAGAGCCCTTACAGTCCCCTTTTAAAGGAACCCTCAAAGGACTCCCATTCTAATTATTAAGGCCCCTACATTAAGCCCTATACTATGACATACCCCAACGCCCCATTCTAGCTATTGTGACACCCGTCGTCTTGGGCGAATCAGTAAAGCTATCACCCTAGATCCGAAGGGGTTTACGAATTAGCACATGATACTGTTGATGATATAAATCCTGCATTACCTTAAGGACCCTACACTATGGGAATAAGGGCATATTCCTCATCGGCAGTGCAGGATTTATATCATCAACCGTAGGGAAGCTCTTGGACCTTTTTCCCTAAGGCTTCCATGTACCCTTATAGTATAAGCTTAGCCATGTACCCTCAGAATCTATACTTAGGCTTTAAAGTACCTATATAGGGACCCCTTTAAGGGTACAAAGGTACATGGAGCCGTTGGGTTTGTAGCAACATCGCTCTCGTCGTCGACTTGGGACTGGGTGTAGTTGAAGGGGCAGCCACAAGTATCTCCATAGTCACTATATTGGGCCGAGACCCGAAACCCTCAGAGCCGTAAGACTAAACCCGAAGCCCTCAACCTTAAACCCCACAGGGTCCAGGTCAAGTACCACGGCCCACAGGGACACCACACCAGCATGAAAGTCTCGGTACTAGGGACTGGCAAGGGCCAAAACCCACGGGTCTGCATACCAAGCCCGGAGCACCGCGGGCTAGTGTGGAAACTTGGGTACTTGGAGGATCATGGGAAATGGTAAGTAAGGTTATAGGTACCTTAATTGGTGTTCTAAGTATTTATACGCATAGTTACCTTAATTGTAATCTTAGTTACTAAGTCCCATATGACCCTGTAAGTACGAAGGAAACCACTGACCGGAGTTGACTTACGACTTCGGCGGTTTCCCGGCGCTAGCTTGGCAAGCTCCAAGCTACCCCGAGACTCCAATATCCCTTTAGATAAGGAATGTACCTTAAATCATATTTGGGTTCGTACTATAATTTAAGGAATATTCCTTTATTCAGGGATACTCTTACCCAGAGGGTCCAAGTATCCAAATAGTAGGGTTACAGGTCCAAAAAGCCATATTCTGAATGGTTTTTGGACCTCGAAACCCTACTATTTGAGTACTTGGAGCCTCTAGGCTAGGTCCCCTGGAAGACAAACCCTGCACCTTCAACCCCAAGCGTTTGAACAGCCAGCAACATCCTGTTTAACCCCGGCAATACCCTATACTCTAGGGGCCTGGGCCTAAGAAGTTATCCATATTGTGATGGGGTTCCTGATCATAAATATAGTATACTGGGCCCCAAAACCCAATTCTAATTATCAAGGCCCTTACATTAATGCCCTTGGCGCTTAAACCCCAAACCCTGAGCCAAACCCTAAACCCTACCCTGCAAAAAAACCTTGACCCTGAACTAAACCCTAAGCCCTTCACTAAACCCTAACTCTGAAACTTCGCAAACCCAAAGGGTCCCAACGGTTGATGATAGAAATCCTGCACTGTCTTAAGGACCCTAAACTATGGAAATGGTGGTATATTCCTTTTTAAAGGTTTTTGCAGGATTTATATCATCAACCGAAGTACCTTTTTGGGAGACTGTGGGGTTTCTATGTTAGGATTTACTCTTATGATTTGAGGACGTATCCCCATATCAGAACAGTACCTAGGACTCTGTTGTTCCTCAACTTCACAAAAGCCTAAACACTAAGCCCTTAAACAGAATCCATACTCTGAGTGGTTTTTGGATCTTGAAGCCCTACTACTTGGGCACTAGGACCCTTAGGGAGACATGGCCCTCAACCCTAAAGCCCCTAAACCCTCCACCCTTAACCCTCAAATCCTAAACCCTAAACTTTTTGGGAATCAGATTCTTTGGACAGCCTGAAACTTTATTCTCCAAGTATAATATTCGAATCCTTACTTAAAGGGTCATGGGACTTAGTAACTAGGGTCATAATCAAGATAATTATCGTATGTTCACTTGTTACCCCAATCACGGCACTTATAACCGCACTTACTAAGTCCCGTCATCCCCCAAGTAGACTATAAACCCTAAACCCCCTGTAGATCCCTTTAAGGAGCCCCCTTAAGGAGCCCTACTTACTAAGTCCATGATCCTCCAAGTAAGACCCCTTTATCATGGAGATCTTGAGGCTTAAAAACCCGGTGACTCTCGCCGACCACGGTGCGCTCACAGCTGCGGACTCGGACGGCTCCAGGGCTTCGGAGTTTTGGCTTCGTGGCTGAGTAGAAAGCCCTTAACCTCGTATACTAGTGTGGGGGGTTCCTTATTCTGATAAAACGAAAAACTTCCCTACAATAATATTAGTAGGGTTTAGTAGGATTAGTGGCTGAGTAGATAACCTTTAAGTCTAAATTCAGGTCCTTTTTTAGGGTTGCTCAAAAAGGATCTATGAAGGTTTTATAGGGCGTCCATAAGGGAACTATAAGTCCTACTCTTGGTAGCTGAGCAGATAACCTTTAACACCCTTTGGGCTTTATACAATCCTACCATAATTGAGAAGGTTAACGATTTTGTGGGCTAATCTAACCCAAAGGCTCCATGTACCCTTATAGTACATACTTAAGCCTTAAAGGGGGTCCCTATATAGGTACTGTAAGGCCTAAAGTATATACTATATGGGTACATGGAGCCTTAGGGTAATCACCTCATAAGTTCGCTTTTGGGTATAGGCATGCTTAGGAGTTTGGGTTTGGGGATCCGGTGTGTTATCCCTAAGGGTCCAAGCAGTCCTTATTTATGGTTTTTGATACCTAAAACGGCCCTAATAAAAAGTACTAAAATAGGGAGTACTTGGACCCTCTGGGTTATGGATTTCGGATTGTGGATCGGTTTAGGGCGTTGGGCACGTCCAGGGTGTCAGGTGTAGGATAAACAAAAAAACGCTGTTTCATACAGGTGTTTCTCTTAGGGCTTGGCAACTGTTAGCCTGTTCTTCACTGCTTGTACATCTTGTGCATGTGTGTGTAGCACTTTAGTGTCTACGGTTCTGCTCAACCTGGGTCGCTAGGAGAACTATATAGGCTTGTTCGGTCTCACGGTTTCGCCATTGCGAGAGGCTTCATTTTTTTTGGCTTCGTACTTTTGAGCCCTAAGATGTAGCCGATACGTGTACCGTGTACCACGCCTACCCAGACCCCCGGAAGGATCTAGAAAGTCGATCCCCTAATTTGGGGCCGTATACTACTAAGGGTACTTTGTCGGAACCCCCATTAAGGGATCTACTTTTTGGATCCTCCCGGGGGTCTGGGTATGTGTGTAGGGTCTTCACCCTGGTTGTCCGTCTTAGGAGTCCCTTAGGACAGAATGGACAGGGTTTAGGGTTTAGGGTTTAGGTGAAGCTAGGGCACTTTCTCTCAGGGATTCCTGTCAAAGGGGTACCTGTAACTCCAAAGTCCTCAAGTACTTTCTCTGGAAGGAAACCAAAATCAGGAACCTTCAAGAAGGTCGGTTTTTTGGACTTTAGGAAGGGTATAGCGCCGCTCATGCTGCCAAGCATGAAAACCCTAGTATTCATTCCTTCGCTAAGAAACCCGTAAGGTCCAGAATACGTACCACTAAATCACTAAATTCTGCTTAGAGCATTATTGCTAGTTGTGGGTTCGTGGAGTAAGGTAATTATCTAATTACTTGCACCGGTTTAACATTCATAACGGACAGGCATAACTGAATTCTGTGAAGCATCTTGTTCACAAAGAACGCAGTAACAAGTGGATTAATGGTCTCTGGCCCGTTTTAGCTACATGCTCAAACCGTAAATCCAATTTTCCCCTTCAGTCCAGCAGTGACTATGAATCCTAAACCCTAAACCCCTCCAGCAGCTGGAAACTTTCCTGCGCAGTCTCTGGTCCAAAATACTGGACTTGTTTGTGACCGTTCCTGTGCCTTGCTTGAAGCCCACGGCGAATCGAATCGAGACACAGCCGGAGGCGCAATCAGCCTCATGCACCCTTCCACGTCCCCTAACCTTAAGCCCTAAACCCGTACCCTAAGGCTCCATGTCCCCATATAGTATATACTTAGGCGTTGAAGTACCTTTTTAGGGACCCTTTCAAGGCTTGTATCTACTACAAAAGGTAACTACATGGAGCCTTTGGGGCATCTAAGCAGACCGAAACTCACGATGCCCTAAATCCTCAAACCTTAACTCCAAGGGTAAAAGGAAGGACCCTTAATAAGGACCCCTAGGTATATACCCTTAATATAGCTAATACATACCCCATTATATAGCGCATTATAGGGTATGGGGTCCCCATTAAGGGTCCCTCCTTTTCCCCTTTGATTAACCTGATAACCTCAAGTTCCTAAGCCTTCCACCGCTACCCTGTCATTGCCCTTATACCTTTTCCGTGACAGGAAAGGACCCACTGTGTTTTTTTGTGCTTTTGTCGTGGTTTGGTGTGTTCTCTGTATTTCCATAGGAGAACCTTAATTTTCGCTATGGTTTTCCTCTGTTTTCTCTATATTCGCGTAGCGAAAACCTCTCTATGTTCATCTTCATTTAGCAGGAAAGCTTATTTTTCTGGATGCTTTCTGGATGCTTTAAGAGGAATACGTACATGTTCTGTTGATTTTCATGGGAACTGAAGAGAAGACGGTAGGACAGAACGAAAGAAAGACATAGCAAAAGAAAGAAGGAAAGACAGAAACATATGAAAGAATCGAAGGAATAAACAAAGAAGAGAGAAACACAGAAAGACATATCGAAATAAAGGAAGCAAGAAACAGTTGGGAGGGCAAGCCGTGCAAGCCCGCTCCACCGCATCTGAGTTTTTTCAAACCCATCGTGCGAGCATTTTGTTTGCAACTGGCGGGGGGCTGCGCCCCATCATGCGAGCATTCTGTTTGCAAATTGGGGGTGCTGCCCCCCAACCCCTTGCTTTTTTGAGCCGCGCAATCTCCCAATTAGAGGGCGTGTTTAAGATATACATATATATATATATATAATTGTTATTATTATTATTATTATTACTATTATTATTCTTATTAATATGAGCCGGCATCGCCGAATGAGGGGGCGTGTTTAAGATATGATGAACCGGAATCGTCACATGAGAGGGCGTGTTTAAGATATATGATGAATTAAATCGCCAAGTGAGGGTGCGTGTTTAACATACATGAGGACCCGGAATCACCAAATGAAGGGTGTGTTTAAGATGTAGGATGAATCCGAGGAGGTTTGAAGCTTACAGCCGGAACCCGACAGGTAAATCCGGTGGTCAAGTGATTGCTAAGTCGCCCAAAACGGTGCGGACTCGGAGTGGCTAAGTGGCCCCGGTTTTCGGTGGCTACAGTAAGTGGCCCCGACACCGAAAATAGAGGCTTTTGCTATGAACACATGCAGAGAAATAACGGTTATCGTGTGAAAACGCAGTGGAAAATAAAGGTTTTCCTATTGAAACACAGAGAACCCACCCACCCCTGCACACGCAACAAAAAAAATGCCGAAGAAAAACACCAAAAATTGCAAAGAACAACTCTGCACCCTTCGTTCTGTGGAGAGTGCTTCTTTTGGGAGGGTTTGGGGTTTAGGCCTTGGAAGGTTCTAATCGGGGTCCGCAAGGGATTGAAAGGGTTTCACAAGGATCGGGACGCTACGATCTCCTGTGTTCCCCATCTATACGCTTTAAGGTGCTTTTTTGTTGTTCCTTGTCAGGGTCTCCTGGCTGTCTAATGGCCCCAATATAGAACACTGAAGAATTGGATCCTTGATATGAGCACCCGTACTCTGAAAAGCAGCACCTAGCTTTCGAATTGTTGAGACCCCAACGTTGAGATACCCACGTGGGGAGCTTTCCCTCGATCCAGGGACCTCAGGCTCGTGTAGCCATATAGTATATACGCAGGCCTTGGCAAGGCGTAGCTATATAGGCTTCCACAGTATATACCAAATAGGTACACGGCGCCGCAGGGTTAATGCACAAACTTCTTCATATTTCGGGGGATAGTCTTGAAGCCGTTCCTGTCATCCTAAACCCTGAACCCTGGGTCCTTATCTGGGCAGTTGGCAGGCTGTGGCAACTCTCTGCTTGAGTTTGGGCGCGAGCTTTGTTTTAGCCAAGATGCTCTGCAGCCGGGCGTGCCTTTAGGGTTTGGGGCCTGTAGGGCTTGCCCCCCCAAAAAACCTACGTTTTCAGGGCTCCTTGTCATGATTTCATTATCAAAGCCCGAAATATTGTAGGGCTTTGGTGTAGAGTATTATTAGGTTTGGGGCGTGGGGCTTGTATGGGTGTAGGTTTAGAGAGTCAACAACATAACTACATGTCCCGTCTTCGCTTTGGGCGTAGGCTGCAGTTATGCAGCCCTAAGAGTGAGTAGCAGTAGCAGTAGCAGCAGCAGCAGCAGCAGAGCAGCAGCAGAGCAGCAGCAGCGTTGTTTGTTTATGCAACCGTTATTCTTAGCACCACTAGTACTATGATCATGGGGATCCTTAGGGGTGTAGGGGGAGGGGTGTACGGGACTATATTTCCTTAAATAGGCCTTATTAGTCCTTATTATGGGCCTTAAGGCCCCCTACCCCCCTCCCCCTACACCCCTAAGGATCCCTATGATATGATGTTAGTATTGTTATTCTCGTCAAAGATAATTTCAGTTGTTTATTTGCACATATTGTTATTAATGCGTGCATTGGCATTTGCTCAACGTAATTGGTACTTACTGTATTTATTGCTGTTATTTCTGTTACTTTTCTTGTCATTTTCGGGTTTTCCGCACCCGTCAGTAGCAGTAGCACAACATGCTCGCGACACGCTGAAGCCTGACACATAAAAGTTAAATCAGACCCTAAGCTTAGATTCTACCCTTACAACACCCTGAACCCCCCCCCCGGTCGAATCCTTGACTATAGACCGGAATAATTGCTGGTACAAACCATCCTGATCGATATACTTGTGTAGTTGTCAAAATTAGGGTCTCTTTTTGGGTACCTTAAATATTAGGTGCCGCATTATAATAGGGACCCCAAAAGGGACCTTACCTTTGACAACCACCCACTTATGGTCGTTCTCGACCTGCATGCCGTTCAGATTCTCGAAATCAGGGCCTCCCCAGGGTGCTTACTGCAAGGATGGCGCAATCATTCTGGAACTTGACAATGTTTGAATATATTCAATATTATCCCGCAGTAGTCCATGCTTCATCACAGTACAATATTACCCAAAGCTCTATTGTAAGG